TTCTCCTTAACATGTTTACGTCCATCTACAACCGGAGAAGATGAGCGTGAAGAGTTCAAACCAATATACGATTATTCGGGCCCAAATCGCTCGAGTTTCAGGGTTAAGCAAAAATGACCCTCAGCTTGTTCTAATTTTAGCTACTCGAACTCATAAGTTCGAAAATAGAAAACAGAAAAGCTACTCGAAGTAGCTTTTCTGCGAACATAACTATTGGGTTCAAATTCTACCCGGATTTTATGTTGTTACATGTTTGTTAATATTTTAGTATTGTTGTAGCTTATTGTTTTACCGTATTATTTTAATACAGCATTGTTATAGAATATTCTTATGTTCTTTCACATTATAACGTTGTTACGATATAATGCATTATAGTTATAATTCAAAATAAATTATCTTTCATTTAATACTACTATACAACAGTAAGTTGTTATTAAACATGCTTATTGCAAACATTACACTGTAATTGTAATTTATAACATAATATCTGTATCCTGTAATTATAACGTATTGTTGTGATATCCTGTTACGAAGTATTGATTGTTCTTATCAGCTTAAAATATTTATTGTAAAAACGAAAATATGTGTATGGTGATTTTAATAAGTCCAGCAAGTGTAATTTTAAAAAACGTTTTATTATTTAATTCGATATATTTAGAAACAAATGCATTTTTATTTAAATCAATCATATTCAAATGATAAAAAAATAAAAATTACGTTTATTGTTTTAAATTTTGCTCAGTTTGTTAATAAGGCAGTTTGTTATTCAGTAAACTCATCAAAGTCGCATAAAATATGTCATATAAAGAAAATTGGAAATTTAAAATTCGAGTTAGGAAGTGCATATGCTCGGGTAGAAAACTATATGTGTTCATAATTTGTTGAATCCAGAAATTTCTGCGAGGAACATGCATACATTCACACTTGCTGGAACACATAAATATTTAAAGATATTTCATTGCTTAATAACGAAGATTGAGAAACCACTATATTATGTTGAAACAGAGAGATGTGCTGCAACATTATCTAATAATAAATAAATTTTACATATAAACTGCAAGACAAATATCTCCATGTCGTTCTTTCTATAAATTTAAATTTGAAATCACAATCTACCAACATTGTGATTAAAGCAGAGCTAATTTTATTTCTCCAACAGATCTTCTTGATTTAAATAATTTAGCTATTTAATTAATGATATAGGACGTCTCATTCTTATATCTCACACCAATTTAATTAATTTTCCCTGTTATCATCTTTTTGACTTAAAAAAAAGAAAAATTTGAAATGCTTAAAATATACAGCACTTATTTATTATGCGGGAGAAATATATCATATTTGCATTTAAAATATATCTTCTAAACACAATACTTATATTTTATTATGTACTTAAGAGTCTCAATACATCAAGAGCCGACAATTGTTTGCACCGAATATTGCTAATGGTAGACTTTTGAGCTTGAGATAAATTTTCTTTTTTACATAACCAGTATAATAAAAACTCATCTCATACGGATTTATAGTTGCCTAAATATTTGCATAATGTTTCAAGCGCCTCCAAAATGTTCTGTTTAATAATCTGTTAACCTCTTACGTAAAGAAGCTAATAAAATTATTGTGCAAAGTTTGAAAATGTATTAGTAAATATCATTGTCGTGGAAACGCTTCAGCATAAATTATCCTCCAAGATTATTACTTTTATCTAACCACTTCCAAAGTCATGTTTTATGTTTGGACAGATTGATCGGAATCGCCCTGGCTGTATGCAAGGAAATGAAGACTTCTACGTGGATCGCGTGTAAGAATATATTCGCTGAAGTCTTGGACCCTAATCTAATCACTATGGTTTTAAAACATATTTTTTTGAAATGTTCATCTCAGCGTGTGTAAAGTTTAATATTTTTCCGTAATCCGCTAAACACGCTCACACAATGAGGTAATTTCTCATCACTGAAAAAAAATTTATTTCTTTTATAATTAAATATTCATATTTACAAATCTGCGGATTCAAAACATCTATTGGGTTATGTGCACTTTTTCTATTTATACTTTTTAATTATCATCGTAAAGAGCAAACAAAAGTAAATATTGCACGTTTAATTAACTAAGTCAAGTAGCCAGTAAGATTGGAATTTTTCAGGATACGTAACTATAAATGACCCAAGTTAAATAAAAAGACAAAATAGACATAAAGAAACATTCTCTTTAGAACACGAGAAATATCGCAGAGCAAATTGCAAAGGAAAAAATCATGCTACAGAAGCTCGGCATATAAACTCTCAACTGAACTAACTGCATTAACTAATTAGCAGATGGTTACTTATATATTCCTATTCAAAATGTTGGTAAATTATAGGAGGATAAGCACTTCTGGAATCTTGGAAAGAATTCCCTTCTCAAGCTATGAATTATAATGAATTGTCCGAATAAATCTCGTTTGAAGAATTCCAGAGTATTGCCCAAATTGGCGAAAACTTTCCAGATATCACCAATAAACTGTCGAAAAGATGGAACGGAAGAATTTTTCCTGTATTTTTCGTTTGTCTATAGCCACACTTATAAGTGTAAAAACTCCGAATTAAAAGATCTACAACCTCAACTACGAAACAAACACTAAAACGTACTAAGTGTCCTAAATTCTAATAACTAAAACGTACTAAGTCATTACAATACACCAAAAATAAGCATTAATTACAACACAGGTTATACCAAATAAATAAATCTATAAATAAAATAATACATAATGCTGCACAGCTACAAAAAAACAAAATCACGAAATAATAAAATAATTATTTAAAAAAAGTACAAATTTATATTTTACTCTGTTATCATCTTTGCCTTAAAACATTTCACTTCTGAAACATTTCTCTAGAAATTATCTTACAAATTTCTTACACCTCTTACATAAGAATGCCGCTGAAAGAGAGAGGAAATGTTGGATCAATAGTATTAGAATGTGGAAAGCGCTTCTCAGATACTAAGTTTCTGGCAGTGCTATTGATCACGTCTCACCCCTTATTATTTACCACCATTTAAACATCCCCTTCCTCTTATTTCGATATTACTGATAATCAGTTTGCCTATTGTTTTAATAACTCATTTAGATCTTCAAACTGTCATTCTTGTATTATAGATTGCTAATGTATTTCTACTTATTTAACATATTTGAACCCCGCTCGCTTGAAAGGCCTAATTGAGATTCTCTATTGAAAAGAGATTTTGAGAACAAAAAAGCTATTTTCGTAAACAGTTAAGAGGCAATTGCGTTTCATCAAAGTATATAAAATTTTAGTGGTTTGGTGTGGTGGTGTATTTAATTATGGCAAAGCACACGAGGGCTATCTGCCTAAAGGGAGGGATGCCTTTCGTGGAGGACTTTCTAAGGGAAACTGGCTCGTATACACGTTACACATGGGGAAAACCACGAAAACGCCCATGCAGCCAGCCCGTTCGCGGGATTCGACCTCAGACCGAACTACCAGTGTTCAGCGTCTTTACCGCTCGGCCGTTGGTGGGCTTTAGTGGTTTGATAAAATTACTTTAAACTTTTTAAATGTATCCGATATTAATAGAAGGTAAATAAATGTTTTGGCACTTTCTGGGCAAGTGAAATTATAGTAAATCAACCAAATTCTTGGCATGTGAAATTATATGTAAAGTACCATAAAGTAAATTACATTAATTACAAAATTAATTAAAATTTAACATGAGTATTATTAAAGAATATTTTTGCTGAAAAAAGGTAAAACCGGTATTTTCTCTATTCAGTATACGATTTTGTATTAAACTAGCCGTTGACAATACCTGGAACTCGGGGTAATTATTCTTGGACAAATAATAAAAGACTATCAGATCTTACTATATTTTTTGACAAAATATTAAATCGACAAAATACTTAATCTCTTGATTAACTGTATGACTCATATTTACTGCATCGTTTTCCGAATTATTGTTTAGACGAAGTATTTAATCTCTTGATTAACTGTGTTATCCATATTTTGCATCTATTGCCAGGTGTTTAATTAGACAAAATTCTTATAGTCTCTTGACTAACTGTATTATCTCTATTTACTGCATCTCTGTCCGAGTTATGACTTACACAAAGTACTTCAATTAGCATGTAACTTAACTTGTAAAGAAAAAATGTAAAATTGACGAAATATACAACTCTTGATTTTACATACAAGTAATAAAAACATGGCGAATATTCATTTCGATTATTACAGTAATATATATTTACAGTGTAAGTAACTGTGTCACTTTAACTGTCTGTAGGGAAACGCCTATTAAAAAGTTCTTATCTCGATATTTGTAATCTGTATAAACGAAGTTTCAGTATCATTTACTGAAGGATAGAACTCTCTTTAAAGCTCTATTATTAATTCCAATTGCAATTAATATAGCGTCAATCATAAATCACATAATGTTTACTTTGATGTCTTAAACTGAAAACGTTTTTTGTTAATCAATCTCGATTGCACTTCAATTACTATGTTACATATCGCAGAAGACGTTTTACTTTAACTTAACATTTTCATTTAAGTAACATTAGCTTACGATTTTATAATGTAACTTGTAAACTTTGCATCAATTATAACTAATACTCTAAACTCAAAGATAAAACACTATCTTTGAAATGAATAGGAATTTCGTTAAATATTGTTTAAATGATTGTAATGATGTGATATCTAATTTTTACCATCTATTTATTTTTTACATTTATCATCTATTTATTTTTTACATTTATCATCTATTTATTTTTTGCATTTATCATCTATTTATTTTTTACGTTTATGCATATATGCGAAAGTTGTTTTAGCTATGTTAATTAAACACAAAATCATTTTATTTAACTGTTTCTTTAAATGAGCTATTTTAAAAAAATCATCTCTGATCGAATTTATTTTCGATAAAAGATAGGCAAAGAATGCTAGTTTGAATAATAAAAATCTTATTCGTATTTTGGGCATTATTTATCAAATATTAATTTTTCTTTACAGAGCCGAATATCGTAATTGGACCCAGTAACACTACCGCAATGCTTGGAGACATTGTAGTGTTCACTTGCGACACCACTGGAGATCCCCCGCCTGTAGTAACGTGGCAAAGAAATGGCCGAAACATACATACTAATGGCCATTCCAGTTACAGAATTCTGGACAGCGGGTCCTTGCAGCTGGAACATGTGGGGCCAGCTGATTATGGCCTTTATCACTGCACAGCTAAAAATGATAAAGGCACTGCTAGTTCAGAAACAGCTCATCTCCAAGTAGAAGGTGAGTTGTGGTTTATTTCTCTGCTATTTATACTACTATTTATACTTAAGCGACTATTTGTAATTATATCTATTATTTAATTTCATCCAACTGTGTCATCGCAGCAGGTAATTAAGCGGTTAAAAATATTTTACTTTATACAACATGCTAGAAAATCTGAAATCGTACTTAGTGGTAGTGAATGTAGAGCTTGTAGGTAAAAAACAAGCTGGTAAATTGTTGTACTTCAGAAACCATTTGTCTCTGCATTTTAAACAACATAAAATTCTAAATTCTGAATGTTAATAACAGACCCAAAGACCCAAATGCATATACGCAATGTGTAATAAAAATACAAAACAAGTAGAGAAATAGAAATCTAAGGTATAGATCAGATTAGGAAAGCTTATATATAAAAATTCGTTGAAATTTACATTTGCCATTAAATGATCAGTTAATACTCACACGTTTAATATTGTTTTATAGTGTAAGCAGAATTTATTAAAACAATATGCATATAAATTTCATACTAATTTAAAACAAACTTTTGTTATTGAGGCACTATACAGGGTAAAAAATTGATATAAAGCCTAGAAATTATATGCAGCATCGCTTTCGGGGAGCTGTTGAATAATGCAGATAGATTCGCATGGACATATGCATGGAATCTCCAACTAAGTTCAGATACTTTAAAAAAAGTTTTGTGGTAGATTTAAATAATATTATTCAGATTACAGCAGCTCTTCGCATAATTTTTGCTCTAACTTTTGTTGAATAGCCTATGTCTTATACCGGCACACGAAAGTACATTCTTGCAAAATAGATATAAAAATGTGCTTTTCTCTACAGCAAAATGTTTCATGGCCAAAGACTGGATATGATGCAGCTTGAATCATAAGTGGTTTACTGTCAAAATTTTAGAGCGAGTTGGGATTGTAAATTTTGTATTATTACAAGCATTGTATTCTACATTTTTATACGATATTTATTTTCTTTGCATACGTTTCGCGGAAAATATTTAATTTCATTTTAAAATAATACTTTAATTATGGATAAAAAATACCTCATAAAGTTATGATATATTACAACAGAATATTTCATTAGATTTGTAAACTCTTTTTCTAATTTTAGATTAGTTTATTATATTTAATTAAATCAGAACTCCTTGCAGTTTCTAGCAACAGCTAGTTTACTTCCATGTTTTACTGCTTTAAAATTTACACTTTGTTCCTTTTCATAATTTCAAAATCTTATAAATTGTTCCAAAGATATTTGTTCCAAAATAAATTGCTCCAAAGATATTTATTAATACCCAGGGCATCAAAATCTTACACAATATTTTATTATTAATACCAAATGGTTTTAATAACAGACCATTTATTACAAATGGCATTAGTAAATGGAAACAAATAAGGTAAATATATTATTGTTATAAAACATATATGCACACTAATTTACATTTTTACATTACATTAATCAACTGCAATTTCTGCAAAGTGTACTACAGTAAATCAATAATTTGAGTAAAATTTAAGGGCTTTACACTTAAATTTTAATTAAACTAACTAAACTAAATTAATTTAACTAACTAAACAGATGAAATATGATGGAAACATTTTTAATGGTCTCTTGTAAATAAAGAAGGATAAAAAAGGTTGTATCTTTGACAGATGAACAGAAAAAATACACATGCTTTTAGTAAGACTAGATGCTGTGAAAAATACACGATTATTCAAAATACCATGAAGCATTTTAAAAATTCATAACAAATGAACTATATAACCTATATCAAATGACTGCACTAAAGCAGCAGTAAAATTCATTATATTTATAGATATTAATCTTTATATATATTATTTATATATAACTTTTATTTATTAACATATAAAAGATTAATATATATAACATATATAAAGATTTTAACAAATTAATCTTTATTATATAATATTAATTTTGTAAAATCTTTAAAAATTACATATATGGTGTGTGTATTCTAGAATATACATATTATATATCTATGTACCCACTATATTATATATTCTAATAATATATGCATATATATATATATTATTAGAAAAGGTTTTTCGTATATCATCTCCAATGAATGCAAATTTAATTAAAATGGAGAATTGTTGGAATAAATTTTAGTCAGTATTTTAAAGCGATAAATTACTGTATACTTGTGATATTCAGTATTTAAAGGTATTTATATTTCTATTGTGGTAAAGTTATTTTTGTGTGTGTAAGGACTGGACACGTTGTGCTTTAAACTGGATAAATATGTGGGCATTTCCAGAGTCCACAATGAATCATTAAGAGGACTGCTGTCACCTGGCGACGAAAGAAATTGATTGGCGCTATTGAAATTTAGAATGATTAACCATATTTTCAAAGCCAGTGTCTTACTGAACGAGATGTCGATTCGCAACATGGCATTGCTTAATTGGATAGATTGTTATCAGATAAATAATGACCCTGATAACTTATTAGGCTGGCCTGTAATATTAGACAACCTGAATAAAACTAGATATCGATATCCAAAAGAAATCCATTGAATCTTACGAACCAAAAATCACTTCTGTTGAAAAGAATGCAGTTCCAGCTTCTAAATCTCTGCAGGAACAAGAGTTCCCACCAGCTAAAGCATGCTGTTATATATATGTTAGCGATCTCGCCAAACTTGCGCCTGTCATTGCGGTAGACGCTTGAAAGAATATTGCTATTTTAGTCTATTAATATATACAATTTAAACATATAAAACACTTGAAACGTTTTCCGTAACGTTTCACGTTTAACTGCCAGATATTATTAATTTTAAGCCGAACGTTTCTTTATGACAGGATTGCATAAGTACTCTACTAGATGCTATTCCGTTGAAGACAAGCTCCATATTTTAATCATTTCTTTAAAATGAGATTGAAAAACAAAATATATAAACGGCAGTGAACTTATTTCCTTTTTAAAAGCATTAAACTGACTGGACGAGAATTAACCGTGTTCACATAAAGCCAAAGTTTTACCTCAGGCTTATCCATTATTGGCGCTAAATCGCACTGTTTACCAACAGTTCTTTTCATTCGAAAAGTAGTCTTCTTCGTGCTTTGTCATTATAAAGCACGAAGAAGAATTGCAAGTCATTTGCTTAAATTTTTATAACTTTTTTTATTTTCAAATATTCTTGTTATATGAGCTTACCGGTTAGCTGAAAGCCGGATAATTGGGCTTTTATTGTAGAGTATCCTTTAGTAAAATTGTGTATACCATTTAAGTACTTAATTCATACAATTGTTGCCTTGAAAAATAGCATTAGATGCATACAATTTCATAATGTATTGAATGCACACAGAACCGATTACAGCTTGATGAAATTTATTTTACCAAAGGAAACACCATACAGTTCTGGAACGTTTTACAAAAGTGCTCGTTCAGCTCTTCTCAGTATGAGAGAACAAATCTATAGTTGCAGCTTAAAATTGCTAAGAACGGTAAACTCAAGACAATCAAAAAACGTTTCGATGCGTAAGCCTACAGAATGAACTCTCAGTACTCTCAATACTCAGCTAAACTTCATAGTCTGAAGTAAACTGAGAACTGATGCCCTCTCCGGTCTTTGAATAGATTTTCCCCGGCCGCTGAGAAATTTCCAGTACTTTCGATTTCTCGGAAGTGCTGCAAAGCATGCACAGTTATAGGTACATAGAGATCGAACCAAAATGTCGCCAAAACGTAGCCACATCTGTCGACTTTTGGCAATTTCTCACCAAATTTGATGACGAAAATAAGTTGCCAAAACCGATAGCCCTTAATGTTAAATGAACTTATCTTTGTAATCCTAATCTCCGGCAAAGCTTCTCATACCTGAGAACTTTCGTGTTACATTATACAAGAAGTACTACAATTTACATATAATTCCACTAATATTATTTACATATAGACATATGTAACAACATTATTCCATAGAGATAAAGAACCTTGGTATAAAAATTCAAAGAAGATTTTAATGGCCCACTTAAATTACCCTAGTATTAAACCAGAGAATGAGAAAGGAAGTTGCTGCAATATACCTTATTTTTAAAAAATATGGTATTGGAATCCTTGAAATACTTCTAGAAGTTATTCAACTAACTACACTTCTTTAACAAAATCAAAATCATGATTTAAAACTAAGCAGTAAAGCAACTCCAGTCTGGCGTAGATGTTCAATGAAACGCTGCTTGCTTTCAACAGCGATCAGATGCCAATTGATCTTTCTGAAAAATACTCGAAGATAAAAAAAATCCTGAAGAAGAAAGACTTGTTGCTGATCGTCCATCATTTCAGTTATAAGGTATTTCTCCTCCCTTCTTAGCATGTCTTCGTGTATAGTAGACAGCACACTCGGCGCGTATTCCAAAGGTCCGTGGTTCGAGTCCCAGAGAGGGCATTTCTCATTTTTCACGTCTTCCTGCTTCAAAATAACCTAATGGTTCTACACAGTAACCAAGATAAATAGTTGCAGAGTTCATTATTGACGTTTATACTTTTCTTTTTGTATATCTCCACCGATCATACAAACCTCATTTACTCAAAATCTATCTTTATAGTGAATCTTTATTGGTATGTTGATTGCAGTGGACGTTTTGCCTTCTAATCACTCATACACATGCAAAAAAGATAAAAGATAATATTGAATTTAGAATTAATTAATTATTGGAGCAGCCATATTTTACGATCTATTGCACAGATGCTTTATACATTTTTTTTAATCTACGAGAAGGATATATATCATAACTCCTATCATATACGCATCGAAAATATTATTTATCTTAAAGCCTCAAGCTTAAATCAGAGATAAGACTGAGAAGATTAAGACTGAGAAGCTTAAATCAGAGATATTCAATAAACATAAACGTCAATAAATGCTTTAAAAGATAAATGTGTATTGTTAGAAATTTGCTGCTTTCCCAAAAATCTTTATCAATTAACGCAAGCAAAATTTCTATTTAAAAAGGCAAAAACTGTCGATGCTACCATCTTTTGTT